TTGGCCCACCAAGCCCATCAAATCAGCAACGTGACGCTGCCCTTAGGGCCCATAACAGTGTTATGGACATTCCCTGTGGAACTTATATATAACACGGCCATAACATTTGCACCGCAATAATAGTAGTAATAGTAACTGAGAGTGCCTCCAGTGGATCGGCGGATGGGGCACCGCTTCATTCATTCAAGGATAATGTTACGGTTAATGCTACGGCCAGCTAAGTAATTTAATTTGCAACAGCAACAACAACAGCAAAGCCGAATTGTTATAAAGTTACCAAAAAAAGTATATATATAGATAAATAAAAATAAAAGACAATAAAGAATGGCAAAATTCGACACGCAGAAGATTAAATACTCTTCTAGATACATGGCTTAAGGATTTGCAGATATGTGAGAAGAATTCTGAAGTTTGATCAAAATATCTTGAAAAAGAGAACATTTTACCAAAAAAAAAATTTGCTTCTCGACCGAATATTTCTGTATATATATATAATACTAGCGGGTATAACCCGGCGTTGCCGGGTGTTGCGGGTGGAATTTCCCAAATCGCTGATATATGTATTTATTAAGTTCTTATGTAGAGCTTTGAAAATAAGTTTGTAGCAAATCGGACTCAACTTAAAACTTCGCCCAAAAAATCTTTAAGTCGCATTCCCCCCGAAGAAGTTTGAATTCTGCGAAAAGTGTGAAACACGTATCAAATGATTTTTCTTATAGATCTCTGGAATGAATTTGAGCGCGAAACGTCACGCACCAAATCTTTGACCTCCATTTCCACCAAGGAGGAACGGATTTTCCTAAAAGTGTGAAACTCCCCTAAAATGAATTTGAACAAAGATCTTTAAAAAAAAGTTTGAGGCCGATCGGATGGTAAACAAAAAAGTTACATACAAACGTTTTTCGCGATTTTTCCACACTTGCGGGTGGAATTTCCCGAAACCCCGTCTTAACGTGCACCTACATCACATAATGTAGCTATAGTGAAAATTTCAGCTTCATAGCTCTTACGGTTTGGGCTGTGCGTTGATCACCAATCAGTCAGTCAGTCAGTCAGTGATAAAGCGATACGATTTCGACACAGGTTCTTTATACACTTCCCTGACCTTTAAAACTAAGGCTATCTTGCATAGAAGCAGACAGACCTATAAAACGGATTTGGCTATGTCGATTCGACTGTTGATACTGAGTTCAGTGATGTCTACTATTATGCGTTACACATTGCATAACAAAATTTTAATACCCAATACAAGGGCATAACAACTGAAACCCAGACAAACAAATGGACAGAACCGCAGACTGCAATTCCTGAGGTGTTTTTTTGCGACGCGGTGGATCAGAGCTGGAGATGAGCCCAAACGGTGATCGTTGCCAGAGCTCTGTTTGAATATCTAACATTAGGTTCTGGCTCATAAACTGACGACTTTAAGGCCAATAACAACAAACAATGAAAAACGTGCGAAATAACAAGGAGCCAACTGGCAATAAGCCAGCAAAAGTCCAGTTAAATGTCTTCAAAGATTACTCAAATACCCCTAAAGTCAGGCCAAATCAGTAAAAATGCTAGAGAGCCGCTGGGAAATAACTGGGAATGTTTAAAGGCGTATTTTATGAAGGCTTTTATTGCTGTTCAGGTGGTTGCATCTCAGGAGTTCGTTGGGTTTCTACTCTTAAAAATAATAAACTTTCTTAATGAATATATATGGCCTGCAAACGAAAATATACTTAGCTATTCCCGTTTAGGCAAACCCGATCTGTTCTGAGCTGAATTTAACATAAGCACAAGATTATTTTTTGTTATTTTCAATCGTGTTAAATTATGTTAGATGTCAAGAAATATATTTAATTGTGTAAATAAAATCTAATAAATCATATAAAACAATTTTTCGTACAGATAGCTGATTTGGCAGATTTTTATTTAAAAGCAAATTTATGAAATTAATAGTATTTTTATTATCATCTAATAAATTTTAAAAATGCCACAAATAAGGATCGACTGATTGCCATTTTGGAGAGAATTTGTGAAATCTGGTAAAATCTAAATTAAAACCGCTTGATTATAAAAAAATTCGTGATAAACTAAGATAATTTGGAATAGCCTTAGCCAAAAAATATATCTCATAATCGTGCTCTACTTCTGTTATCTGTAGCAGATCTGGGTGCATTGCGCATCTCTGACAGGCACCGTCGCATCGCGTCGTCCATCGTCCTCCACGCCGCGCCCATTGCAATGATCGGTAAGAGCATTTGAGGCAAGTCGTGTTGCTCCATTACGCCATAAAGCGTTACCAAATGCCATTTGCACGTGAATATTGGCACGCCCCTGGGTTAAAGAAATGCAACACAGATAGGAACAGATCGAATTGGTGCTCCATATTGCTGGGTGAGCGATGGGCGATGAGCGATGAGCGTTGCTGATAATGATGATGGGCATGATGAAATGAAATTGTTGCTTTCGATTTTGGCTAATTGCAGAGGCCATTGAAATGCCTACTTAGGGCTAATTGGTCCCATCGGAAGCGCCGCCGAGACATGTACAAACATTTCACGCTGTGCTGTCATAGATGTTGTAATTGATGCCGCCGCTGTGCCATGTCACAGATGTCAACCAGCTGGCCAGTATATAAAAGCGATTGGAATATATCAGACCTAGGAACAGACCAAGACCAAAACCCAGACACGGGCACAGACACAGACTGAGAGTCAGAGTTGGAGTCGGACCTAGGAGCAGATAAAAAAAACGGCAAATCTAACAACTTTGATTGACTTGTGATTTGAAGGCGCGCCTAATTGAAGCGAGGCCAGCCAGCTAGCCAGCCAGCCAGCCGGTGAGTGGATCCGGACCAGAGATCGAGACCAAGACTAAGACCGAGACGCAGACACTGACATGCCTTGGAGACTGGACACATGGACACATGACACTGTCTTTCTGTCTCTCACTGTGCTGTTGTCGGTAGCTCTGGCAAAATGTTCGTGAGAAATGTCATTAATACGAACGACGTGCTGTGGATGTGGTTCTAGTAACTATTCAAGTACTACGTATGTGTCCATCTTCAGGCAGCAGCAGCAGGGATCTCCACTCCATGTGCTGCATTGTTGCACTTAATTAATGCGAGCCTGCAAGCCTGAGGTTCACTTCATGCCGCTCTATACACGCCCTCGGCATTCGTGTGTGTATGTGAGTGTGTGTGTGTGTGTGTGTGTTGCCATATAGGGTCATGTGATAGGCGTTGGTCGTGTAATGGAATTGCTATAAGGCACTTACACTTAGAACCTGGCGATAATAGCTTAACATTAACGTTTACCAACTGGCACCCAATTGCAATCGGCTGGCAAAGCGTTAAGAAATTATTTGAAACATGCGGCGGCGCTGCTGCATTGGCATCCAATAATATACCTCCATGCAACTTATATATATATATTTATATATACATATATTTTTATATACAGAGAGAAAAACGGCAAGCTTATGACATTTTTGTAGTTGAAATAAATAAAAATTGTAATTTAAAACTTCTTGAATCATATGGGTTTGAATTCAGTTTTATATAAATTTGCTTCAAGCTTAAACTGGAACTAGTTTAAAGACAGATTGAGCTTTGAAAGACTTTATAAGTTTTTTACAAGGCGAAGAGGAAGATTATTTAGGTTGTAGCTGTCTGAAATTGCGCGAATGTCGTTATATATAATATAATCTATAAAAAAAAAAAACCGCACATAATTCAAGCTATTTTATAGTCAAAAAATCATACTTGGAATAAAAATATTATGTTTGAATCATGTAGTTTCGGTGTTATCCTCCTCTAAGGCTTAGCTTGATTCAGGCTCGAAATTCTTGATTATTTCTCTCTCTGTATGTAAGTATATATACATATTCGATTCCACATAACATCCCGTGCCTGTTGTTTGAAGGCGTTAATAGGCGCTGCTATGCCAATAATTTGCAATTATACTTAATTGTAATTGTAATCGTTGTAGTATGGCACAACAACTTGTAATTGAGTGTGAGTGCGAGTTGTGTTCTTCTTCTTCTTCTTCGTTTCTGTGGCTGTTGTTAATAGGTTTCTTTTTTATAGTTTTTTGTTTTTATCGGTTTTTATTGAGAGTATTTGCTCATCGTGTGTGCCTGTGGGCATTATGTACATAACATTTCGTGTTGGCTTAAACGATCGTTTACTTGGTTAAACAAATGTTTTTCTTCTTAAATGTTGCCCATTATTCGGGCCTAATTGCTTATAGAGGCATAAATCTTTTGATATTCGCCAAACATAATTGTGTGTTATAAATCTGTCAGTATTATTCAAGAGAACTTTAATAAAGCATTTGCAGACATACAAATTGTGCTTATTAAAATCCTTCTTATTTTTGCTATAATATTTTGATATATTTGTGCCTCTATAGAGCATATTTTAAATGTCCTAAACTTTACTTAAAAATTATGTATTTCTTGTATTTGATTATCGCATTAAAGATATCGACTGTCAATTCTAATATAATGAAAAATATTTAAATCTATTTAAACTAAATTCAAGTAAGACAAAACTTATTTTGATTTGAAACACAGTTTGAAAGATACAAAAAAAAAGAAATCTTATTATTTTCTGATACAACCGATATCTACAATATGCCATCTTTTCACCATTATTGCAGACTAAATAAGAACAGCTTTAGGCAATATGATTAGATCAACGTAAGTACATATAAATATGGCCTGTGTAAATGGTGAAAATTGTCTTTTATATATTTTTTATATTCATATATATATGGAAGCACAAATTGTAAATCCATTTCGAGTTCTAATCGTTCAAATTCGATTCTCTCTTACACTTAAAACATGTCAAAATGTTATAGCTTAATTGTCTGTGTGTGTGTGTGCTTGTGTATGTGTGCGTGTATGCGTTTGAGATTTGTTATAAAGTAAACTTAGTAAACTATCAAATATCGTAACTAAGCATTCGTATTCCATTGCTTCTAAACTAAAAGCTTAGCAATTATGACAAATGTATTACACTATTTATTCCGTTTATTCACTTATTGCTGCTCCTTGGGAGCCGTATTAGGGGCGTGTGGGGGTGTGCGGGGAGCGCTTTGTGCTGCAGCTTAATGTTAAGAAAAAATACTCAGTTCCAGTGTTCTCGATAGCTCCAGTGCTTCTCTGCATTCCTCTGCTCCTCCAGTCAGTACAATATGCCCGGATGTACAGCGCCGCTGCGCTGGAAGTATACATTCGGATTGCTGCTCAATGTCGGCTCCAGCGTTGTATAAAGATTCGTTTCATCTGGTCGTATAAACATTCCTGTGGAATCGAGTGAAGATACGCCAAAGTATGGAATGCATTAGTACTATAAGTGGGTCGCTGATTAAATATTCAGTCATCATGACCTTGAAATCATTCTTTAGTAATACTTTTTTTTTTTAAAAAGCTTTGCAAATTTTTCAATTTAATTTTTTATATTATTCAACCGCATTTTATGCCCATGTATACGGTGTACAAATTGTTAATAATATGTGTAACACAGTACATGCGTCGGAATCGACCGGATCGGACCACAATAATAAATATAACACTTGGTCGAAAATTGGATTCGTGAACGAATAATTATATCTGAACCAAACTCAATAATTACAAGCTTCACTATTCTCTAACCTAGTCACAAACCCGTATCGCATGGCCGCAATATAAACATTTGCAATATATCTCTGCATCTTCATGAAGTGCTCCTGATTAGGCATTAAAATCTTGTTGATAATGAATAGCACCCCTAGTCTGGATCGAACGACAGATTACGCTCCTTTCGGTACCAATATTTATAGCCCCATTGCAAGGGGCTGGAACTGTCGTTAAAAGCGAGATTATTATATATAAGCCTTCCTGGAACTGTTCAATCTGTTGTTACGACTCGGGCTGCCTACCCATTTTAGCTCAGTTAACAGACTCAGACTGAGGGCAAGTGTCTCTTTTAGTCGTCCCATGCGAAAATAAAGCTGTTGCATGTCTACAAGGGTATATTATCTTCGGCGAGCCGAGGAAAGCCGTTCCTTCTTGATATTGGCTTCATTTAGCAAGCAATCTTCGATGTAAGAAATCTTTACACACACTCAAATATTGACCTAAAACTAGAACTAAGCAGCTTTGTTATTACCTGGCGCATAACGCAGAGTTTTGGCCAACTGCGCCGCCTGTGTCATGGAGGTAAGCGAGTTACCCAGCTGTTTGAGGGTCAACGGTGTGGCCAGCTGTGTGGGCGGTGCGGGCGGTGGTGGTAGTGGTGGTGGTGCGGGTGGGTAATAGCAGAACGGGTGCGCGCTCAAATGTGCTGGAAAATAGTGATACATACGTGTATAGCTCGGAGGTGCGGCGGTGACCAAAGCGACTCGATCTGCTGGCCCGGAACCCGTAGTTCGTGTGCAAGGGTTTTGTAGTATGTGTGTGTGTGTGTGTGGTGTGCGGTGTGTGCGAGCGCGCATATTTACCAAACCAAACCAAACCAAAATCAAACCCAGCCGTGACACACACACACAGTCATATGCATAAATACATATATGGGATAAATATATTTACAGTAATTATTTTGTTGAGCCACACATACAAAAAAGTAAATATATATTATATATATATATTTTATTTTTTTTACAATAAATGTAAATTTAATTAAATTTCAATATAGTAAAATACCGGAAACATAACCAAAAATGAGAAAACATTCGAAATGATTGATGAATAAAATAATGCAAATTACAAAAACAACATAAAATGATTATGTAATGTTTGTTATGCGCGTGTATGTGTGTGTGTGTGTGAGCGTGACAAGAATTTTGTATGCATGATGTTGTCAGATTCGGCGAAGGAGACCATTGGATTTTTATGTTGCAACCGTTGCAATGATATGTTTCGATTATATATTTTGTTTTTTTTTTTTTTTGTGTTTTGATGTTGATGATATTGTGATGGCGATGATGATGATGTTTGATGAGTTGACAAAAATATATGTGATAGAGAAAATGAATATATATAGAAAATCGTATATGCGAATTGAGTGCAAGGCAGCTTAGATCTAAGGCTTTATAACAAAAAACAAAAAAACATTTCATATATCAAATGGATGTCACAATTTCTGCATCTGGCACACATTGCGGACGGCCCCAACCGCTGACCACTGACCCAACTGGCCCAAACATAACAACCCAATTTTCAAATTACTCTCTGCCATATTTCACACTTTTGCCTTTGCCAAAGCGCCAGCTAAACAGCAATTTACGAGCTTAATGATGTCAAATCTGTGCGCGAGTGGAGATAAAACCTTTCATGTCAATGGGCCAACATTATAACACCCTCAAGCCATAGAGAAAGTCGTGGAGTCGCTCGGTATGTTGTTGATTGTAGCTCGTTTATCGTATTGAGCAAAACCTTAAGCGTTTTCATAGGAATTTTTAGCATGTGTTGTGCTTATTACACTTTTGTGCGACAAGGTTATTAACAGCACATCGCTTTATTAGACTCTTTTATAAGTCAATTTAAAGTTCACATAAGCATATGATCAGAGTTCCTAAATTTCGGTTGACCAAAAATAAACCGAACCGATATAAAAAACTTTTGATGGAGACCGTTCCCTAAAGTATTTTATAAAAAACATTGGTCATAACCTAAAGCCTTAAATATAAAAAATGTATTTAACCATTTTTGTAAGATACTTATTATTCTTGGATATAGATTAAAATTAGCTTGCATCCTATTAAGGAAATATAAGCCTTGCAATATTTTTAAAACAACGGGCAAGTATAAAAAAATACTAAGCTGTTCATTAAAAGTGGGATTAAGGATTTAGAAAAAGAGCTTCACATTTCGATTATCAAAGCAGATAGTTGGTTTGAGCTATGAATCGAACCACCATCCGTATTTTTTTTGGATTTGCAGCCTTCCGATAAACTTTTTTCTTTGATCTGAGAATAATTTCAAAATAAAATCTTTGATCCAAATTATTTTTATTACATCCATCATTCGAATTATTTTAATAAGCCAACATAAATAGAAGTTATAAATATAAATTGCAGCGGTAAAGAACTTTAATGCTTACAAGTTACTCAAGTAAGTCGTCTTTTTCTATACCACTCTCTAATTTGACTTCAGTCTCTTTTTTCGAATTTTTAATTTAATTGTATATAATAATGTATATTAAACTTCAATTTTATTTTTAACTCAGAATTAACAGCAATTAAGTGATCTTTGTCAAGTTACTACACCCTCAAGTTTGTCACCTAAGTCTTTTGTTTATGTTCGTTTTTGTGACTAAGCTCGAGCTTATCATTAGAAGAACATGCTATATATATGAAGTATGTATTTATGTTTCCAAGTGTATCAGAAAGAAACTTTAAATAATAATATATTTACTCCATCAAGTTTGTCGCCTAAGTCTTTTGTTTTGTGTAACTACTTTATAAAGTTTGTCGCCTCAGTCTTATGTTACTGTTCTGTTTTTTGACTGACTTCGAGCTTATCATTAGAGACAGCAAATATATACGTATATATAATCAGTGAGAAACTTTACATGCAAAGCCAAACAAATGTGAGCCAATCAGGAATGAGCGCCTGGCCAACCTAAACCAGAGGCAACTTGAAAGCTGTCGCTGCCCGATTTTTCAGCTATGCTTATAAATTATGATTATTATATTTTCAACAGCTTGCAAGCCAAAGTAAGAAAACGGCACACAAATACAAGCACACTCACACACATAAGGTACACTCAGTAAACTATGTTAATGACATAAAAACCGAACAAAAATAACAGAGGCTGAGATAAAAACGTTGACTCTGGAATTGCTAAACTGGGCACTGGGACTGGGACGGCGACTACGGCTGGGGCCGGGGCCGGGGCCGGGGCAGGGGCTGAGGCTGACTGCTGAACTCTTGACAGTGTTAAATGCAGCAGTTACACACATGCGCCATCTATCTGACTGGCTGGCTTTTCTTTGGCTTTTTTTTGCTGCTGCAAAGAGTAAGTCCCTCTATCCCCAAACCATTCTTCTTCATGCTCTTGGTTTTCTAATTAACTTAGAACAAATACTGCAATTAAGCTCGCTTGTTTCTGCTGGCTGCCCTGGCGGCGCACGAGCTGTGAATCTGGAATTATGTGTCAGAAAATGAAAATACATGTGTATATGCGACTGTGTATGTGTGTGCATATGTGTATGTGTATGTTTGCATGCACATTTGCAAACTAGTTTGTAACTGCGGCTGCGGCTGCGGCTGCTGCTGCTGCTGCTGCTGTTTTGCCGCTAGCTGAAGCGGCAAATTTGGCTTAATTCTTAGAGCACGGCCACTGCCACGGCGGCTGCTGCCTGATTCCATTTGCAGCCCGGCAAATAAGATTTCTACTTACTTACTTCGCACTAAGCGCAGTTGCTGCTTGTGCTAAAATGTCTGTCAGCTCACTTTACAATTATGAATTATGCTCGCTGGCATAAAATACGCCACTTTGTGGCTGCTGCTGCCACTAGCCATAGCTGTCTATTCTGGCCGGTAACAAACAGAAAACAAAAACAAAATAAACCAAAAACAAAAACAACAACAAAATAAGCGGCTAATTAAGTGCAAATATGTATGACCAGGCTCAACTGCGCTGCTGCTGCTCTTCGTGCGTGTTCCGCAGCGCATTTGTGTTGGTGCATTCGCGCTTACATGTGTGGGCGTAAAGTCACAGTTCGCTAGAGATGACAGTGACAGTGACAGTGACTGCCAGTGATTGTGACTGCTATTTAGTTGAAGTCGCTTTAAGATATTAATGAATAGAGAATCTAGAGATTCGGTAAGGACGAGATCTTTCAAGATCTTAAGTATATTTAAATGTCAGAAGCAATGAAAATTGCTAGTTTATAATTTTAATTTTTCTTTTAATTAAGTATAATAAATTGGTTGTTTATAATTCTAATATTTCTTTTAGTGAAGTATAATAAATTATGTGTACCGCTTTTCATTATTTTTTGCTTTGGCTCAAGTTAAGAATAACATGAAATATTTATAAATAGAATATGCGCAGCCGCTTTTAAATTTAAATTTGAATATGACGGAGTTTTTTCAAAATTAAATAGGTAGACAAGTTATATCAAATATGTTTAATACTATTTCAATATATTATTTGGTAAGCTCTAAGATTTTTCCTTCCACCTTGACCATGAAAATCACATAATTGCTCATCTCTATTGACAGTCAGCTAACCGCCAAAGTTTTTCCACGTTTTGCATTTTGCAGTTGTCGTTTACGGGAAGTTCTCGGATCTAACCGCCTTCCTCACTCACTCTCTATTCCCCCCTCTTTCTCTCTCTCTCTCTCTCTCACCCTTTCTCACTCTCTCCAACAGCTAGCGCTGGCAACAAGTTAAAGGTAAACCAACTGCCGCACGTTGACTGATTGCTACGTGCAGATTGTCATTGTTCGCCTTTGTTGTTGCTGGTGTTTTTGGTTTTGTTGTTGTTGTCGTTGTTCTATCCGTATTGCAAACTATTCTTATTGTTGTTGTTTGTTGCTACATACTTTGCAGACTTGAGTAATTTCCTTGGCGAGCGTCGAGTTTTTCCTTATTGGCTCCGGCTCTAACTTCAACTACAGCTCAGGGGTCTGTTGTTTGAGCTCTGGGGTCTCGGGTCTGGGGCTTGTACAGTGGGTTCTACTATGCCTATGTCTGTGTCTATGTGTGTGTGGTACGAGAGTGAGTTGCCAGATGTTGTGATATCACGAAGCAGCATTATAACTAATTGGCCACGTTCGTTGGGAGCTCTCTGTGTAGAGTTCATTGTCATGAACGCTGGCTGCTCGCTAGTCTCGCTCTAGGCGGAAGAAAAGCATTTTTCACATGCCCACAATGCTTCGCAATTTGCATATTTTGGGCAAGGGCGTATGACCTTCAAATTGCTACAATTTAATTTGCATTATATGCGTGTTGCACTAGCCGCGGAGGAAAGACAGACAGACAGACCAGGTACCAATCAAGCAACCAGTGCCTGCCTGATACCGTACGCAGTCGCATTGCCAGCGTCTTGGCCAATTTAGCGTAATAATTGAACGTATGCAGTTGGCATGGCTCATTGGCAGTGGCTGCTGCTGTTGCTGCTGCTGCTCCACTCGCTTGGCTAACTGCTGTTGGCTGGCTGGCTACTTCAATCGCTTGGCTTTTCCGCTTTCGGTTTCATTGCAACAATTCGGAACTGGTTATCGATTACGTTTACATCGTCGTCCAAGTCGAACTCGCGCAGTCGTTGCGAGCAGCGGCTGCGGATCTGGCTGTGGCAGTGGCTGCTACTTCTAGGCAAAAATTAAATATCATCCAGCCAGAGGTTCAGGCTGAGCAACGACTACGACTTTGAGTGGGGCGCTGTTATTGCTGTT